AGGGCTTTTTTTTCAACATAAGAGTTAATGGCTGAATTCTGATATAATATGGCAAAAGCTGGGCTGGATTTTAAGAGGTCCTTAAAGAAAAAGGTCTTACTTTCTACACTGACAGTATTTTCTTGCAGAAAGATTTCTTCCTAGGTTTACACAGCAGATAAACTGAAGCATGAATAGCTAGTTCAGCTGTGTGAATAAATAATAGTTTAGAGAATCAAATAATCATGAAAATGTCACAGAAAAGCAAGGCTCCTAAGTCTGAAACTGAATTAGCTTCTGGTTTAGCAATTCTATCCCCCCACAGCTCAGAAGTTATATTGTGTATGTTTATGCAGATAAATTTGGATGCATAATTAGATGTTTCGTCTCTTCATTTGCACATAGAAGGGCTTTCCTACTGGCTACTGAAAAAACATTTATGCATGAATTTTAAGAAACAAAATTGAAATGAGCTCACAGAGCCTGTGGAATCTCCATCCTTGGAGATATTCAAACCTTGATTGGACACGGCCTTCACCAGCCTGCTCTGAGTGGTCCTGCTGGGAGCAGGAGTCTGGAGCAGAGACCTTGGGAAGTGTCTACCAACCTATGTGATTCTGTGACTAACATTATGGCATTAAACAATAAAAACCTGTGCAGTGATGGAGAAGGGCAAGATGACAAAGTAAGCTGGTGTCTGAAACCCAGCTTCCATATTCTTCCTGTGAGTACAAAACATTTTCCTGCTGTTGCTTAACATCAGTCTGCAAAAAGATCAGGAGCTTCACAGCTCCTGGTGTCAGGAAATTTTTTACAGTGCCGTATCAACCTTGTACCACTCAGGACAGTCAGAATAAACATTATTATCCTTGGGAAAATTAGGGTAGCGGGTCAACTGAGGCAAATTAAATGTCAGACAGTGTTAGAGGCAGATACTCTCATCCTGAGCTTGTATGTCCCTCCTTCACATCCACCTCCAGGCCTTCCCACCACCCACTGAATTAAACATAAATCTCTGCAGCCTCCCTGCGAGCTCTTTGCTAGTCGATCCATTTGCAGGACATGTCAAGGACAGTCTCTGGAGGAGAGAACAAGGTTCCTGACACTCAGCTGAGATTCATCCTGCCTAAATTGAGAAATTTACAGTGTCGATACCTACACCTGAGGTAGTGCCTCCAAAATCCCTTCCCAGTTAATGGGAAATGCAAACTTCCAGGGCCCAACCAAAAGGGAGTTGAGACAAACTGGCTCAGACAACCTGCAGTCAAGTAAAAGCTACCCCAGCCCAAATCCTTACGTTATGAAATACTACAGGTACCTGCCTTTAAAACAGGAAAGTATTCTAAGCAAGTGAAATGAAGAGAAAGTGAAGAATTAATTAACTAAATAGAGGTGATTAAAGTAAACAAAGGAAACAATTATCATATCAAAATAAAAGACAAGAAAGATGATTAAATGAGTCTTCAAAAGACCCGTGAGAAACTCATGAAAGACATAATATGCATTTACCTGGTTTTTATTCTTTCATGATTTCATTTTCATTTTTATTCACTACCATCTGATAATTGCAAGAAACAGTTACTTTAACCATGGGCAATTTAAACCATTTTAATTTTTTTTCCAGGGCCAAGAGACAAAAGAACCTATTTATTGCCTGAGGGGATTTTTACTAAAATGAAAGCTTAATCTTTCATGTTTTTTTAAGCAAAGGCTTTTAAAAAATAATTTCTAACAATGCTGTAGGGAGAGACTTCCATGGGTATGCAAAATTGAAATTATAAATTCACAATTACAAAAAAATTAATAGTTTGGGGGATTGCATTGTCTCTGTTCTTTCTGAATGAATACTGTTTCAAGCTTAAGAGAAAGTATTTAGCGCATGGAGAAGAATGAGTGTCCTTAGACTCTCTTGCGGTCAAAGCTATTTAGTAAGAATGCATGAGAGAAAGATCACTGGAGTTCAATTTGTTTGGAAATATGTGATTGTATGAACCTTGAAGAAGGAGTTTCATACAGATTGAACAGTCATTATTAGATGCTGAATATTTTTCTTTTCTTTTTGAGTGTATTGCAAGTAGAAGCCAGCAGCAAAACTTGACACGCTCAAATATCAAACGCCCTGTTGGTTCCTCAACTTCCTGGCCTGTTTTTCTGTGTTGCCCATGCATCAAAGTTGGCCTGACCACCATCCCTCCAGAACAGTTTGATGCACCGAAGGTTGCTAAATCTTATCTACGTAAAATAAAGCTGCAAGATGAATTTTAACTGAAGTAGCCACCTTCTGGGGCTCTTATGACACATGTCTACAAAGGAGAGAACAAGAGCTTTTTGTCAAAGATTGATTCAGAAGAGATCTTCAGGAGAGATACAGTTATATATGGGTAGAAACCTGGATATGATTTATGTGGCTGCCGTGGTTTAAGGCATATTAGAAGTACATGCTCATGCCCACCCCTGTTCCATGCAGTGTTTTGGCTTTCACAGCATCAAAAGGATTAAATTTAAACATGTACTTTTGCACTCTCCTAAATTTGGGCAGTTTTCTGAACCGAGAAATATTAATTTAACGCATTATCTGGAGAGACACAAACATTTCTTCCTGGGCTTAGTGCAGGCTTTGAAATCAGACAAAATATTTTACACTTATGAAACACAACAAACGGAAGTGTTCTATTAAAAGAAAACTAGACCAAAAAAAATACTCTCAAGGCCTCCAAATATCCACACATTGAAAGGCAGATTTAAATGTTTTCTGCCAACATATTTCAAGTTTTAATGGAAATACTTTGAGCTACTGTGAAAAGCTTTATCAAAATAAATTCATTTTCCATAGAGCAGAGAAGAATCATTGAAGATATTATTCAGGTTTACAAAATATTTAATAGGGTGGAGAATGGGGAACCAGATAAGAAAGGTTAAACCGAAGGACATTTTAACAAGGCTTGATTTTAGCCTTGGTTGTGCAACATAAATTGGTCAATAGACCTACCAGATATAGACTTTCTCTTCGACACACCAAGCTGTCTAATATTAGAAGCAGTTGTGTACAGCTACTATCTATAAGGCTTTCAAAAGCAACTGTCATTCTGAATGCACTATTTCAAAGGCTAAATGTACAGAATTTTTTGAAAATAACACATCTTCAATGTATTAGCCAAAATCATTAATCTCTTTGGAAAAACCTTGGTATCTGCTCTACAATACCACCCTCAGAAATACTAAGCTCTAGTTATCCCAAAGAAATATCTGCCCAGCCCAGCTGAAGCACCTTTCTAACCATGTGCCTCCGCAGACTTGGACATCAGATGAAACCACCTTCCAGGTACTCAAGGAGCCTCGAGATCAGGTTAAAAGAGGGAACAGCAAGTCAGCCAGGCTGGATAAGAAGATTGTGTTGGAGAGGGAGAGAGGAAAATGTGGACCTTAAGGATGAATCTGAGTCCTGTGCTAACACAGCAGGACAAAGAGCACGACAGAAACATGCTGCTGCCTGAGGTTCTGGTGCCACTTTGCTGCAGAGCAGCAATGATAAGGAAAGTTCATTTCCAGCCCCTCTGCACCGCAGTGCACTACGTTGAGTTGCCCTGAGAAGTCTTGTCAGCATGGCTCAAGAAACGCTGAGCATGCTTTGGGAGGACAGGCTACTCAGGCATTTAACAGCTAAACTGCAGAGATTTTACAGAGCATGCATGAAATGCAACATCTCTGCTTCTATAAATGGGTGACGTTTAGACATGAGTAGCACAGAAGCACTGACACCAAGACAAGCCTTTTGCAAAGCCTTAAGCCCCAGCTCCAGGACAGAGGGAAGAGATTGCTCAGGTTTAAAAAAAATATATCAGCAAACCAAAATTATTTCCACCCTATCTGCTCAGAGGTGTTGTGAATGAGTATTATTTTTAGGTCGAGATGAAGCTCACTCCAGAAACAGGAAAATGCTGCACAAACTTAGTATTAGCCAAGCTGCCTTCCATTTAACCTCTCCCCCAAACAAACAATGAAACTGTAATATAACGGGAAGCGTTGGCCAGCTTTAACACCCGGCACCACACTCGGTCCCAGTTCTATTGTGCAGTGAAGACTGTTTTCCTTACTGATGAGCTCAAACCGTCTGCCATGAATTACTTTTTCATGGGGAATAAATACACACTTAAACAAGATTAAACACAAATGTTCTTTAGTGGTGTCTAAAATAATATGAATGTTTTTTAGAACAGCAATAAACACACTTCATGATGCAAATAATTACACCCTGCAGCCTTTATGTAAAGACAAGCGGCTGGAATCTTGACTCAGCTACATCATTGTAAATCCAGAGTAACTACACTGAATCAACAACTCTCTCCGTGGATTCTGGAGATGCTGAAGTGTTACTGAACTCTGGATTTGCCCTGATTTCTCTCTATGGTTTTGCAGACATGGGACGTGCATGGCTGAAAGTCTACATGGTGGTCATGGAGGCACCACCACCTCTTATCCTGTCCCTTATTCCCCCATAAATCTGTCTTCTGCTTAGTCCGATGAAGTCAGAATCTGGCTATGTATTCCTTGTGCATCTGATGTCACCTCTGTAACTGTACTCTCGGTTAGGACCAGAACAAAGCTCAACTGAGGCTACAGCAATCTGGGAATCAAAGATCTGTCTCTCAGGGATTGAAAAGAACCACCTCGGTTGATTTTTCTGTAGGATGGGAAGGACTGACTCATGTTCTGAATTCTTTCTGAAAAGTACAATTTAGCTTAAGTTTCCCATGCAATTGTAATTTTCATGTAAAGTTTTGTGAGATGGGTCCATTAGGCTTTAATGGCCCCTGAAATGAGTCTGGAAAGGTGAACACGCCCACCTTGGGCCATGTGAAAAATTAGTTATTTGCTTAAAAATACCAGCAACAAAAATGTGTTAAGCTATTAAAAGGGTCTGTAGAAATTATATGAGCACACAACATGGAATCACTGTTGTAACTATCATCTTCCCATTTATTCTCATTTTTGTACTTTGAAAGCAAGCACTCTGCTCTTACCGGGACTTGTGAGGGCTCCCAGAGCACCAGTCGTTGTGGAGAGAGGATTTGCATTGGTGGTGGTAGCTGAGGTTTGGGCGGCGGCTGCTGCGGCTGCTAAAGTTGCCAAATTCTGTAATTGTAAAGCGTTCATGCCTGTGTGGAGAAGCAATAGGGTTAATGAAAATATGTAATTAAAAAAAAAAAAAAGCTATTTTCCATGGACATGGAGCTTTGGATGTACCTTGCCAAGAGATTCAATTCTTCTTTTCATTCCCAAGACATCTATAATCTCGGAACCACCTCTTACAGTCCCCAAATAGCATCTCTCACCTCTCTACCTTTGAGTTGAGAGAACACAGCAAAGGCACCAGCCTATAGTTCAGGAAAATTAAACCTGGTTTGTGCCTCTTCTATAAGGGAAGTGTAGAATTAAAAGTCATTTAAACTCTGTGCGAAGCCCAGGCGCAATACTATTTCCTGACACAACAGGAGGTGTAAAGAAGATAACTAACGTTTAAAACACATTCAGGACAGGGTCATATAATTGGGATGAATACAATTTGTTTCCCATGTCTCCTCTGAATGTATCTACTAAGGCTACACTGTGCAGTAGCCAATAATTGTGCTGATTTTCCTTTTGATGTTTCATTTCTAAAAACACATATGAACTAAGAACATCAGATTAGTATCAGTCTGATCACAGAGCCATCATTGAGGTAGGGGCTTTCAGGCCGTAAGCTCTGGACTGTGATATCAAGTCTACTCAGTCATCTGTCACTTCATTGTTTTAGAAGATGTGGGGGAGATATACCTGCATTTCAATGAGGACCTTCAAGAAATGCATGCATTTAAATAGCAAAGGCTTTAATTTAGATGGCAAGTAAAAAAAGGACAAACAAAAACCAGAATTTATGTTAAATGGAAAAAAAGATGATTAAGGAACAGCAAATGGCATTCATTTGACTTAAATCAGAGGGATAGGAGTCTGCTTCTCCAGAGGCCTTCAAAAGTACCTACCTTTTACCTTGGACTACACAAAGTACTTAGGCACTTACTCTAAGATGAACTGCTTCAGTAAGAGACTAAAATGCAGATACAAGTTAAGTGCTAGCATTAACCAGACTGGACCCTTCTCAGGATCCTTTGAATAAGATACAACTGTCCACAGGGGCGATGATCAGACGGGGTGTCTACATACAGACGTGAGAGAGATTGTTTGTATGGCAGTGAGGGTTCATCCTTTTTGCTTTGGACACATGAGGGAGATCGGTGCATGCTGCTTGAGCCCTCAATAGAATTGACAAAGTGCACAAAACCCCCATAAAATACTAAAACAGTTTCATAATGTTCTTGTAGTCCTGATAATATAAGTACACACAAAATGTTAGGTGGTAGGAAGAGCAATACCTTTTTTAGACCAAGTGATAGAGCTGGGAAGACTGTATGAGTTTTGGGGAACACCCAAAGAAGACCTCGAGTGCCTGGAAACTTGTCCAATTTTTTCTGAACGTTAGTTTGTCTAACAAGAGATATTACTTCTCCCTGCACACTTTGTTTCTCAAACCAGGGGAACTTAACAACAACTTGGAGAAGATGAAAAAAAAAGAGGTTAAACGTAATACTTTGTAAGTATGTTTGAGAAGAAAAAAAGTGCAATGAAGGAGAGGTATTTTCTAGGTACTGAGAACTCCTGCAATAACCGAGAGTGATATTACTTTCAAATGCATGTGTTGCAGACTCAGGTTGGTACAATCAATGAGCCCCATAAAGAGGTATTCTCACTGTCCCAGCATCAGGAACTCTGAGGTGAATCTTGATATAAACATCTCTTTGTGAATAAATCCCCAAATTTAAATACAGCATGTTCCAACAGGCAGGTCAGGTCTCAGGTGAGCACCTAGCATGGCTGAGGTTCTAACTTCTGTGCCTCAGTCAAATGCCCAAAGTCAGCTCAGATGTTGGTGCTTTTGAAAATGTGACACAATGACTGTGTTAGGCATAAGGTTTTAGTTGATCCAAGATCCACCACTTTGCAGTCTGGAATCTACACAACACACCTGGAGGAATTACGTGACCAAAAAAGCTCTTTCAGGTTTCTTTTGGAGGCTAAGTTTTTTCTCAAACCCTACCAACCCAAACTATTTTGCAAAGTGCAATAAAGCTACCCTAGTCACAAGTCATTATTAACCTAGACAATTAGGTGTAACTACTAAATAAAGAGGTCACGGGTCATTGTTGCAATTTGGTCAGTCTTCTAAATGAGCTCTTACAAAGTTTAAGTGCTTAAAATACAAAGATAACTCTCAAATGGCAAAATGGTACCTTAATTACATGGACATTTTATAAATATGAAAGAATTAGATCTTGGATACCCAAATGAAGAGAATAAAACTGCTTAAAACATCTCAAATCTTGAACAAAGTCATCTTCTAAAGCAGGAAAAGTTGACTGGATATTTTTAAAACCTTTTATTTTTACTATCAGTCTAAAACTAAATTTTGGAAACAGCATCATATTAACGAATAAATTTCTGAAACCAGAGATGGTAAGGAAATTCCTAACAGTTTTCAAATCTTACCTCTGGTTTAACTTGAGAACTTTTCAGTCAAAAAGTACAATTCAGATAGAAATTCAGATAGGATCTTTTGCTAGCATAATTTTAATTTATTTTTTTTAATTACTCAGTTAACCTACTTGCTTGCCTCAGGTGTAAAATTCTTTTTTTTTTTTCCCCCGTTAAAAAATCCTCTTTCTTTTATAGTAAGATTCTGCAGATTATTTCAAACAGGATTTTAGGAATGGAGAAGACTCAAGATGGGGTCCAGCTCTTCGCAAACAAAGCAGACAGTGGTTCTCAAAATGAGATATGGAATCCATTTTCATCCTGGATTGATATTTGGTCCTCAAATATCGTTTACCTTCCTCTTTCATAAGAAGTGTAAGTAATTCAGCAAAGAATATCCAGCAAACATTGCTGGTCTTCACTGAGGCCACATTTCATGCCATTCTGTAATGGAGATTTGGTAAAGCAGTGGGTTGCTCTCTACCATGGCAGCATGGTTTTCTATCACCCACTGGTTAGTTATTCATCAGAAGGATCAGTCATAATCAGCTTATATTTCTTCTGTGGGGAGGTTTCCACTTTGGACTTTTAAACAGCACACATGGCAGGAGTAAATAGTAGCGAACAAATACAGAATGGTACTAGAGGAGAGACTGCAAAACAGCTTCACCTAGATGAAATCCCACGTGCTTCTGGAAAATGCATGGACTTTTCTCCAAACCTCAGTTTAGAAGCAAATGGATTTTGAAGTAATTTAATACTGCTTTTTCTATTGCATTTTATATGCACGGCTTTGTCCATGCATGCAAGGCTGCAGAAGGCTATAAGCATAGAGGGCTGTGAAGCTGGAAGACAGCATACACACACTGTACAGCACTCAAGGAAAAGTACAGCAGGCAAGACAAGGTCAACAGGCAGTGGAACAAACAACTGCTCTCTCTGGGCTTGCGAACCACTGTCGTGTCTGTGTGGATGCAAAACAAACACCAGCATTGCCTCATCCCACAAAAACATTTTTTTTTATAGTGGGACATTTCCTGTGGAAGCACAAGAGGAACCCATCAACTTGACGAAAGAGTTTCAATGCCAAAAAAAGATTAAGAAGAGCTAGGCAGTGACGAAGTCGTCTCCCCACCCAGTCTGTTTTACTGTAGAGGTGACTAAAAGACACTGGCCACAAACCAGCTCTGCAGATGTTATAGGGTGTCAGCTTTGGTGCCTTCAGGAAAAAAGACTGCTTGCTGTTGTCACACATGCGTAAGAGAAGGACAGCAAGGAGCCCCGCTGAATTGAGCTCCCGAATGTGACTGTCAGCCAGGACTCATGGCACACACCATCATCCAGCATGCTCTAGAGCTGATTGTATCAACAGGTTTATTGCTTAATATGCATCCTCTTTAGGATCCTCTGCCTGCTCAAACATATAAAAAATAAGTCCTGTCATCACTGTTTCACATTCCCCAGGCATTTTACCATCTCTGCTCCTTCTTTATTGGTTTCTCCTGTCAACTTGTCAAGTGCGTCAACATCCCACTTGCTAGGACAAACTTGGAGGAGGGAAACCAAATGCTCTCAAGTCCCAGACCCAAAAAGTAGTTTCCTTTCAAATGGGGATTTTTGGTTCAATTGAATTTTAGCCAAGGTATAGTTCTGTGGGACTAATCTGCTCTCTCATTCTCTCCCCTTTCACACACTGTCTTCACACATTTCACATCCTACAGCTTTTTGAAAACAGTCCCAAATCCCGCAACAGAGCTGGACCGCACATGAGTAGATTGTTTTTATTTGAAAGTGCTGCTCACTCAGCAAATGCACCTCTCTGAAGAAATGCAAATCGCTTAACGCTGAAGAACAGCCTCATAGGCAGAGCTGCACATGAAAAATGAAAATCCCCTTGTAGGGGAAAAAAAAAACTTCTGGGTAAGGAATAATTCTTGATCTTCATGATGGAGACGATGTTGGGAAAAAATGGGAAATTATTAAAAAAACCAGAATCACAATACAGTTTGATTCCGTTTTTAATAACATGTATTTACCAATGTGCTATCAGCTTGGCAAATATTCAAGATTGCAAGGAAATTCAACTTTCATTTTGTTATTTGGCAGATTAAAAAAAACAATTAAATTATGTACAAAACAGATGCACAGTATGCCTTGCTTGAAACTTAAGATTTTTTAAAAAAATATTTATAAGGATAGGGGCATGAAAATTTAATTTAATGTTCACCTTAGGTAATTTTGTGTCTTATTGTTCACAGCAATTACCATAAATCTACATATCAATAAGCGAGAACAGATGTCAGTTGTTACAAGTGCTTGCCAATCAGGCCTGTTAAAAAGTGACAGATGGATGGTGATAGAACATTCTCATAAGGCCTATTAGCACATTCGCAGGAAATTTTTGTAGTGCTGCACAGTCACAGATGCAGTTCTGTGAAAACACGGGGAAATTTGAGAGCATGAGATTTACATTTTACAACTTCTTGTGCTGCCTCCGACGCAAACTTTCATACAATGAAGCAATATGCCTCATTTCAGTCACCACAGCTTTTCTCCTGTGATAACTGTAAATTTGGAATTACCGGGTATT